AGATAGATAGATAGATAGATAGATAGATAGATAGATAGATAGATAGATAGATAGACAGATAGACAGATAGATAGATAGATAGATAGATAGATAGACAGATAGATAGGAGAGGGAGTGAACAAGAGACAAACAAAGAGACTGACAGACAACACCCACACACACGTCAACTTACATAGATTTAATGTGCATGCAAACATTAAGTAACCAGAGTAGATATTTTACGGCGCTATCAACACAATAAGATTTTGGTTACTCACATGTGCGGAATAGTGATGTTGGTGGAGTAGAGAGAGAGGGACGGGGCGCTGGTGTCCGCGGTGTGGAACAGCTCGTGCATCGTCTCGTTGCCATGGCCGATGGAGATGGAGAAGTAACCCTGGGGGATTAGAAAACAAAATCATATTGTGTTTTGCATGATACAAGTAGTTATCATAATGCTTTTGTTTGTGGTGAGTTTGATATGTATTTGTCTGCGTAGGATTGGTATGTTGCTATGTATTTATCTGTGGTAGTAGGATTGCTATATTTGTCTATATCAGGATTGTTATGTATTAGACTGTGGTGAGATTGATATGTATTTGTCTGTGGTATGATTGATATGTATTTGTTTGTGGTAAGATTGTTATGTCGTATTTGTCTGTCGTGGGATGGTTATGTTTGTTTGTTTGTTTGTTTTGAATGTTTTGTTTGTTTATTTAGTTGTTAGTTTGTTTGTTTGTTTGTTTATAGTGGGATGTTTGCGCTGGAATAATTATGTTCTGCTTGTTGTGAAATTGATTATTACATGGTTTGTGGTGAAATGGTTGTGTTTTCGCTTGTGGTAAGTTAGTTACGTTGGAATTACCATTATCTGCTTGTTCTGAAATTTGCTATATTATATTCTTTGCGGTGGGATGGAAATGTTTTTGCTTGTGGTGGGATCATTATGTTTTGTGAATGATGGGATGATTATATGTTTGTTGACAGTTGTGAGGTGGTTATGTTTTTATAGGTAGTAGAGTTATTATGTTAATGTTTGTGGCTGGTGGGAAGTGCACACCAACATGTTCATTTTAACACACAAACACAAACACACACACACACACACACACACACACACACACACACACACACACACACACACACACACACACACACACACACACACACATACGCGTAATATGTATGCGCATACCATTTATACGCTTACTCTCTGGGGATACAAAAAGTCTTCGAAACTTACTGGTTTGTTCGCGTTGAAGTGATCCAAGTTCTTCTGGAACGTCACAGCGAACCGCTCCCCAGCTCTGAAAAAAACAAAAACAACAACTACAACGAATGCTTTGAGTTTGACGACATAGTATAACAACGAAGGTTTGGATTCTGATGACATAGTAAAACAACGAAGGTTTGGATTTTGATAAATCGGTGGCCTAGTGGTTAGGCTCTCGGACTCACAACCGTAAGGTCGTGGGTTCGAATCCCGTCAGGGCCCCAACGTTGTGTCCTCGGGAAAGACACTTTACACAAATTTTCCTCACTTCACCCAGATGGAAATGGGTACCCGGCTATAGACAGTGAACGATCTTGTCAGTTTGATAGTGTTTGAGCGCGTGAAATCCGCAGCTTGCACTGTATGCTTCCGCGGAAGCCGAGAATGTTCCTGAGTGTTTTCAGAGGGTCTGCTGGGTAATAATAGTTGTAAGGCGCATAGAGCATGCTCTTGAACGTGGATATGCGCTATATAAATGCAATTATTATTATTATTATTATTATTATTATTATTATTATTATTATTATTATTGTTATAACATAATAATAATAATATAACAACGAATGTTTGGACTTTCAAACTGAGAATGTTGTACAACTCCATCGACAATATCATTTCATTTAAGAGGCGGTCAACTTCGACCCTGACTGTCAGGACCAGTCGATTACACTACACCTCCCCACACGTGAATGGAACTGACGTCATCTGCGTGTGACAGTGAAGTGCTTAAGCCCTACACCACAGACGTCAGTCGCTTTGAGCTCTTAATTACAAG